AACTGATTAGTTTGTGGTAACTGTGAGGTCCAATCTCAACCACAAATCAACGGATAAATTAGGAAATTAATAATTATGGTAGTTTGAGTTAAAATATATAATTAGAGGGCATATTAGATATTTTTAAAAAAACTTCTCTATCCTCTCTCATCTCTCCGACCAATCTCCGGTGAAATCGGTATCACAGTATATCACAATGGGTATCACATTGTGTATCTTTGTTTTTAAGGTTTGAGTTGGTATCATAGTTGGTATCACATTATATCAGGTATCACATTGTGTATTTTTGTGATTACTTGGTACCTGCCGGATTAATGTTCAACGGAGGCCGGAGGTTGGAGGTCGGATAGATGAGAGAGAAGTTTTTTTAAAATACCTAAAAATGCCCTCTAATTATAATTTTAACTTAAACTACCATAATTATTAATTTCCTAATTTATCTGTTGATTTGTGGTTGAGATTGGATCTCACAGTTAAAACAAACTAATCAGTTCTTCCTTGAATGGATTCCTATATATATATATATATATATTAAAGGAAAAACCAAAGAGAAATTACTGGGAACTATGAGATTTGAGTATTCCTCAAATATTGAAACGTAGTTAAATTTGCTTACGTAACATTGGTGGGCCCTTGGTGCATGCAAAGACAAGATCGAAACAGAATCCAATTTTAAATTTCACTGTATTCCATCGACTCCATCAAACAAAATGGGCCCTTGGTGCATACAAATATTCCATTTACCAAAGGGTCGTTGGCTTAGCGGTATGCGAGTCTTTGGCCTCCTAGGAAGTCAGATGTTCAAACCTCACCAAATGTGAAAAGGGTGTGTGAGTTTATTTGTTCTATTTGTTATACACAAATATTATATACTTCAAAAAAAAAAATTCCATTTTATTTGGTATTTTACTATTTTATTGTTTATTAAAGACGACAATACTAAATAATGTATGTTTCCACGATCTTATTATTAACGTCTGTACTTATACATATGTCTTATCAATATACACACTAATTTTTATTTTTCTAATTAGGTTTCGCTTTAATGTTTAGTACAATTATCAAGTATAAGACGAAATGGATTTTGAAAGAAAAATATTAATAAACGTCTCAGGTTTTTTTTTTATTAACCTGGATATCCAACCCGCTATGTGAGCGACTAATCCCAAGACGGCCACCTACTTTGCAGATAGCCAGAAGTCACCGCATTTGAACCTCCATGACCACAAGATGATTTTTTACTTACATGCACACGAATATCTTCATTTTGATTTTGTTTTTGGGCCAAAAAATCGATTGTGTTGATCACAGATCCCAAAGAAAACCGAAATTTATATACAAATGCAACAAACCAGTTGAAATCTTATTAATTTTATAACTAAATAAAACTCCGAACGTACCCTGGTATTTCCTTGTGGTAGAACAAATAGGGAAAGATTGTTTTGTACGTGAAGATTGATTTAACTTGGAATGGAAATTTCAAACCTACCTTGTTCTTTAATAAAATACTGATGTTATGTTAATACAAGTATCTGATAAAGATACTTGCTTACGGATAATCAGTTTGCAACGCCTTATTATGCTAACAAAATCCTCTGTCGAGGTAGATTGATACGATTCTTGGCTCGAGATATGATAACATTCAAGAAAGAAGATTTTCAGAGCCACTCAATGAAAAAAAACTGCTAACCCAAAAACAAAAGAATAATAAGACAGATTAAACAAGGGTATGCTCTAAATATCTGCAAATTTTGTACAGGTGCAACAAAATGATAGAAATTGAACCACGTTGCATATTGAACTATGAAGCTCTCGAGCGTTAGGAATTGAGACGTTGGAGCCTCTTGAAAACCAGAAGAACAAACCTGGTCAGGGAGATCTTCTCGCACGTGGACTTCAAATCGTATTGAAAAGTCTGACTATAAATAGGAATAACAACCCACCAATTAAATCATATATGTCAAATCTTGGAAAAATTCCACCCGTCTTGACGTCCATCTTACGTTATCGAAGGAAGCAGACAAAAATGATGGGAACATGACGAAAGTATATCATAATAACTAAACCGCTTGAGTTAACACGACATTAACTTAATCATGACAACCACAAGGGTGGTGTCTGATTGGTTTGAGCTTGACTCAAAAGGTAAAAAGTACCAAGAGGTCTCAGGTTCAAATCCAATGAAGAATAAAAATCCCCTTGTGGCCATAGATCAAAAATGCACAAAGCCGGGACTTTTTCAAGCCTGGACCTGAACCTTCTAAGACCCTTTTCAGTGTGAAAAAAGGGTCAATGTCTTTTTAGGTCCAAGCCGAGCTTTAGGGTTAAAAAGGTCCAATCAAGTTTTTGTTAAACCAGACTTTTTCGAGCTTAACTGGGTTTTTTCGGACTTCTGCCTCAAAAAGATTCGACTTGATTAGGGTTTAGGGGTCGATTCGGAGCAGGCTTCCTGCTCGGGTCAACCGGGCCTAGACTTGGTTTCAAGATTGCTATTTTTTGTGATCTCTAATCAACAATGGTATAACATTAAGACATCCACTTGGAAAACTTTCGTCAAGAAAGAAAAAAGGACAAGAGAAGTGAAAGCAAATTGAGAAAATCAGACGCCAATCTCGGGGCAATTTGACAAAATCCGAAAAAGGGGGCAGAAGCAACCGCGTTTTATCGTATCCGTGGATTGAAAGGTTCGATGATTGTTAACAAACACTTGCATATTCCACTTATGGATTCCCTAATTTTATAATCCGATGTTTTTACATATCTATCTTCGTCCCTTTGAACTAATCAAAACCCCCACAAATTTAAAATTATAAAAATGGGAAGACGAATTCAGCACCTCTGCCCCACTTCGCCATCTCCTGCATAGTTATCTGGTTAGTACTCATTATCAAGATCTCTCAACCCTTTTCATTTTTCTAATAATTTTGGATCCTTTGACCAACTCCATTGATGATTTCAACGTTTGTTTGTTTCTAGCGATAGACTTTTGATTACTCTTTCATCTATTTCGGGGTCGTTTCAATCGATGTATATAAAATGCTTGTAGTTTTTTTTGAGTTTTTGGTGTGATTAATCGGTAGTCGATGTTCGAATTTAGTTTAGATTAGTTGAATTAAATCTGATTGCTGTTCGTATTGATTGTGGATTGGATTGGATCATTTGAGTCTGCTTTTGATTTTTGGTGGTTTGACTGTTTTCAGTTCATGTTTGAGTTAAGATTATGATCTTATTTTGACAAATTTGGAGTCAATTGAAGTGGGTTTGACTATTTTTTTGGGTTTTTTTTTTGATATTGAAGTTGGATCTTTACTTTTCATTGAGCAAACTGGTGAAAACTGGATCTTTATGTTAAAAGTGGAAAAGGGTTTCTTGAGAAAAGATTGAGGTGAAATGGGGAATACTTGTGTTGGACCGAACATTTCGAAGAGTGGATTTATTCAGTCGGTTTCGGCTGCAATGTGGCGAACCCCATCTCCTGAAGATGCCCCACCTACTCCTAATGGAGAACAATCTTCGACTCGTGGTGTACAACCCGAATCACCGTTGCCCGTTCAAAACAAACCACCGGAACCGATTACAATCCCCAAAACGGAAAAGAAGCAAGAAGAACAGCCGGTGAAACCCAAAAAGGGCCCCCAAATGAAGAGAGTTTCCAGTGCTGGCCTTCGCACTGATTCGGTTTTACAAAGAAAAACCGGGAGTTTGAAGGAGTTTTTCACTTTGGGGAAGAAATTAGGACAAGGGCAGTTTGGCATTACGTTTCTTTGTATAGAGAAAGCTACGGGTGAACATTATGCTTGCAAATCGATTGCAAAGAGGAAGTTGTTGTCCGAGGAGGATGTGGAGGATGTCCGTAGGGAGATTCAGATAATGCACCATTTGGCTGGTCATCCGAATGTTATAGCAATCAAAGGGGCTTATGAGGATGCTGTAGCGGTTCATGTTGTTATGGAATTGTGTGCTGGGGGCGAGCTTTTTGATCGGATCATTCAACGTGGGCATTACTCAGAAAGAAAGGCATCCGAACTTACAAGAACTATTGTAGGGGTTGTCGAGACTTGTCACTCTTTGGGGGTTATGCATCGCGATTTAAAGCCCGAGAATTTCTTGCTTGTGGATAAGAAAGAAGATTCACTTCTCAAAACTATTGATTTTGGATTGTCGGTTTTCTTTAAGCCAGGTATCTTTTTGAGTTATTATTATTCTTGTTGGAATTTATTTCGGTTTATTCTTATTGGCTTCTGGCATGCTCTTGCTTGCCATACCTTTTTTCTTTCTTTATTCTTTCTCAATAAGATGCTTCATATTTGGTACATAATTGATTAATGCTAATTGTTCTTGTGTTAAAAAAATTCATGTTACATGGAAGAAGCCTGAAATGCGGGTAATTAACGGAATAATGAGTCATACAAATGTCATTTGACCAAATAATGATTCCTTGAATTAAATGCACAATAACATTTTCAAATAAGAACTTGATGCTTACCCCATTAGGCGATGATATGTGTACGTGGTTCTCACCTTATCTTAATTATTAACAAGATAACCTTCCAAATATACATGGCTAAAGAGTGGTCATATTAGAAATTTGGTGTTCAAAATAGTTTTTTTTCCTAATCACTAGAGGATCAATTTTAAAATATTTCATAGCCAAAAGTAGAAATTCTGCAAAGTTAATATATCTTTGATAACCCTTGGCTTCTTTGGTAGCCTTCTTCTTGCCATTATCATTGTAGCAAGGCCACAACAAATCTAATAGTTTGCAACCTTGAGGGCCAACTCCACTGGCAGATAAAGGCTAGGTCTTGAGGATCGTCCTTATAGGTCGCCGGTTTGAGTCTCCTCAGGGCCAAAGAGGTTTCCTGGTTGTTATCTTTAGGGCCGAACACCCACGATTACCCAAAAAAATCTAAATGTTTTGCTACCTTTATGCTTATTGTTGATTTTGTATCTTTGGTTTTTGTTTTTACAAGGATGTATAAGGAAGAGGTTTTTATCGTAATATGATTTACTTCATGTTTACTACATACACAACATACTTTATATGGCACTTTTTTTGTTTCTCAGATATATATATATATATATATATAGAGAGAGAGAGAGAGAGAGAGAGAGAGGCAGGATCATGCGAGAACTTGATCAATTTGGTAGGAGGCAAGAAATTTCAAGATCACACATGATTACTTGTGATACAAACACGTAATCACATATGATACAACGCGTCCAAAAGGGACGCCGGCGACTTGGTGAAAGCGACCAAAGGTCGCCCACTATATGCCGGTTAACACAACATGTGTTGTATCGTACGTGATTACGTGTTTGTATCACATGTAATCATGTGTGATCTTGGAATTTCTAGCCTTCTCGCAAATTGATCATCTTCTCATTTGAACCTATATATACATCATATATGTTTGCACTGGTTTGAGTTATAAAAATAGCCTCTTTGCAAAATACAAGAGGAAGTGCATAAATAGACTTCCTTCCTTTGTCATTGCAAAGCCAAGAAGTCGTGGTGCACAATTATGATATTAATCTTCATATGTACCAACAATTATGATTTTAATCTTCCAGTATTTTCATGCCCTTCTTTCAGTTGACCTGCCTCCTAGATTCTGTCTCTTTCAATTTTCCATAAATATCATGATGCTATACTTGGACCCTCACAATTAGTATATTGTCTTTGATTTAGAAGTATGTACTCAGAAACCACCATTTATTTTCTCTAATCCATCTTTTATATAATGGAGTTTCTAGACGGTCGTATTTTGCCATTGTCAACATTTTGAGGAGTTTCATTGTGGTCATTTTGGTCTCGACTTATGTCATCAATTGCATGTTTCGTGCTTGGTCTTGGTTGTTGCACAATATTCAGGAAAAAAGATACATAATGTACTAAAACTAAATTAACAACAATATGGTAAATCACATTCAAGTTTGAACTTTACCACTTCTCTTAGATATGATGATTACCATATAACTTTCTTGGCTTTCTGCGTAATTTCTGGATCATATTGATAAACCCTCCAGTTAGGTTCACATACGTGCATAAAAATAAGAAATAAAGGGTATACTTTTAAATAGAATAAAGGGTACATGGAATAAAGTTGTAAGGGAGGGCTTTTTGGTCAAATTGCATATTTCGTTAGAAAGGGTCTTTTTTTCGTTAAAGCTGAGAAAGGGAGTATTGATTTTGTAAACACTATGGGCCAAGCCCGGAAGTGAACTTAGGACCACCTGTAATCTTTCAATTTGTTGCAATAATTGGAGCATTTATACCACACATAATCTCTTTTTTCCTTTCTTTTTGTGGGGTGGAGGAAGGGTAAAGTTGCGTACATTTTTGTAGGTTTTTTCTTTTCTTTTCTTTTTCTTAGCTACACATCAACTTCAGATATGCTCTTCTTTGGATGGGGGTGTTCATTTAGGACCGTAAATATTTTGAGAACTTGGGAACCAACTATATATGATGAATGGCATGATAGATATTCATGATGAATATGATGAATAATGAAAATGCATGATATTCATGAATATTTTAGGGTTATTCTCATGAATAATTCATGAAATAGTCAGTTCCTAGGTTCTCAAAATATTTATGGTTCTCTTTTGAACTTCCTTCTACCGTTCTATTTGGGTGAATGAAACTGTACTTAGCTTTTTGTTGCAATCAAGTCATCATTCTTGCCGAACTGCAAAAAGAACTTTATCTTCTGCAATGGGTGATTGTAGATTAAAATGTGCGAAACATGATGGGTTGTTTTTACATTTGCATTTCCATACTTTGTCCAAACTCACTCATTCTCGTAAACTGTAGTGTGCTTTTAGCATTTCCGCATGAAAAATTGTTAGTTTACCACTAAAAAGCCAACTATGATGATTTGAAAAGTCAGCCACTCCTTTCGGTTTTCTGTTCTAGGAGAGTTATTTAAGTTGAGGAGTGGAAAGTTCATTTGGGAATCATAAATGTTTTGAGAACCATTGGAACCAACTATTCATGATGAATGTCGTAAATATTCATGAATATCATTCATCATATCTTTCATTTCATTATTCATCATGAATAGCATGTATTTTCATTATCCATAATGAATATCATGCATTTCCATTATTCATTATGAATATCATGCATTTTCATCATTAATGATGTTCATGAATATCTATGATGATTTTCATCATGAATATCCAGTTCTCACGGTTCTTAAGTATTTATGGAACCTGCCCCATGTTGAGCAATCTCTTAACTTCATCATTTTCCACCTTTCAATTAACAGTTTTATTTTCTTAGGTGAATCATTTAACGATGTGGTTGGCAGCCCATATTATGTTGCACCAGAAGTCCTGAGAAAGCGATATGGTCCTGAAGCTGATGTTTGGAGTGCCGGGGTGATCGTTTACATCCTATTAAGTGGAGTGCCACCATTCTGGGCTGGTCAGTATCTAATTCTACAAAGTTATATCCCCCCTCCCCCTTTCAATTCCCAAAATAAATGCAACAGTTTCTTTTCTTTTTTGGTAAGCATCCATCAAAGACCTGTAAATCATTAGCAATTATCCAAAAGGTCGATAGCATTATTTGGGCCAGAAAATTCATCTATTTGTGATTATTAAGGGGTATTTTAGAAATTTTGCTAGTTGTCAAACACTTCTTAAACTGTGTGTCCAATCAGAATGCATATCTTTTGGGATGATACTCCTCAATCTCGGAAAAAATTGAACTTTTAACTATAGTTATAATTAATTGAAGTGTTTGACTATATATTAAATGTCTAATATACCCTCCAAGGAAGCCGAGAAAAGAGAATATTGTGGACCACAATCACCACCACAAATAATATGTAATCATGACGATGGACAAATAGGCAATCTAACTCAGAAAATTTGGCAAAAATGGAAACTTTGGAAATAACGAAAATTGTTGTGATTTGTAATAGATCAAGGGGGCTCAAGAACTCCAGATATATATACTTATCAAGATTTTATAAAACCAAATATGCAAAAGATGTAATTACATCAAGTAATCAGCAACATTTGATAGATCTTAAGGAAAACACTTTAGGACTCCAAAATTACACATTTTAGGCATATACAAAGTTTTCACAAAGCAACTTGAAACTATCTTACTATCTTTACATATATTTATGGTATGACTATTGTTATTTATTGTGACTCTCTAAGGTCTGCATACATCTTTACCCCCGAGGCGGGACCCTACCTTTGATTCGAGTGGGATTGTACAGGGTACAAATGGTTTGGTTTGCCATTGTTATTTATTGTATCCATTCACATTTTTCTTTTTTTATTTGCTTATGGGTATATATAGAAACGGAGCAAGGAATATTCGAACAAGTCTTGGATGGTGATCTAGATTTTACGTCTGATCCATGGCCAAGTATTTCCGAAGGAGCAAAAGATCTTGTGAGGAGAATGCTTGTTCGGGATCCAAAAGAACGATTGACTGCACATGAAGTTTTATGTGAGTCTTCTAGTTGCTTGTTTTAACAATGAGATTATTTTCTATAACCTTGTTAGTGTAAAAGCTCTCTCACACACTTTTCACTGGCCGTGGTTCTTCACGGAAACAACCGCTCTACCTTTTGAGGTAGAGATCAGGTTTGCGTACATTTTACCCTCCCTTGTACTGGGTTTGCTTGGTTTTATTTTAACGGTCCTAGTTTGTACATACTTGTATTATTTTTATTAGTTTTTACATATTTTAGTCTTTTTGTCCGTTTTTACATATTTATATTCTTTTTATTCGATTTTACATATATATATATGTATATATATTCTTTTTATTTGATTTTACATGTACATATATATATATATATATATATTCTTTTCATTCGTTTTTACATATTTATATTATTTTTATTCGTTTTTACATATTTATAATCTCTTTATTCGTCTATATGTATTTATATTCCTTTTTACTCTAGATAACCATAACCCATTAGAAAAAAGTTGACTTTGTCTTTGACTTTCTATAGGCCATCCTTGGGTTCAAGTCGATGGTGTGGCTCCAGACAAGCCTCTCGACTCTGCTGTTCTAAGTCGAATGAAACAATTTTCAGCCATGAACAAGCTTAAGAAGATGGCTCTTAGAGTAAGTGTGAATATTTGACTTTTAAGGTCAAACCAGCAAAGTTTTAACTTTAAAATTGACAATTTTTTTGAAGGTGTTCAGAAAACCTTGATTTAGTTGAACTTCATATCTGATTACTAAAAAGTTATGATGATGTTGCTGTTCGATTTATAACCAAAAAACCGATCACTTATGAATTTTGAAATATATATAGTTGACCTAAAAAGTCAAAGGGTATCACATGAAAGTCAAAAATGTGGGAAACTCTTTTGACTTGTGAATTTGGTTTTTGTTTTGCAGGTTATAGCAGAGAGTATGTCTGAAGAAGAAATAGCTGGGCTAAAACAAATGTTTCAGATGATCGATACCGACAACAGTGGTCAAATTACTTTTGATGAACTAAAGGTGGGATTGAAAAGAGTTGGTGCTAACCTTAAGGAGTCAGAAATCTATGATCTGATGCAAGCAGTAAGCCCTAAATAGAACGCTGAATTTTTGGTTTCATTAATCTTTTACACGTTTAGGGGAAGGTTCATTTAAGAATTGTAAGAACCAACTATTCATAATGAATATGGTGATAGATATTCATTATGAATAATGAAAATGAATGGTATTCATGAATATCAAGTATATTCATCATGAATAGATGGTGAGAGCCAACTATCCATGATGAATATAGTGATAGATATTCATTATGAATAGTGCATGATATTCATGAATATTTAAGTATATTCATCATGAATAGTTGGTGAGAGCCAAATATTCATATCGTGATGGATATTCATCATGAATAATGAAAATGCATGGTATTCATGAATTTTTAAGTATATTCATCATGAGTAGCTGGTGAGAGCCAACTATTCATGATGAATATCATGATAGGTATTCATTATTAATAATGAAAATGCATGAATATTTGAGTTTATTCATCATGAAGAGTTGGTTCTCACGGTTCAAAAGATTTATGGTTTTTTGTTGAACTTCCCCATATTATGACATCTTCTAAATAGAGACACTACTACTCAACGTAAAGGAAAGGGTACACACATTTTACCCTCGACATACCCTACTTCGGTATGGGATTTATTGGGTTCATGTGGTTTAGTTATCTTCGTATTACTGACTAAGAGTCAGGTTCATACGAGAACAGTAACTAAACTAAGTAAGAGAATAAGAAAACGGTCGAATCGCATGTGATTTTTGATTTTACACTAAAATCACATGTTCACACGACTTTGGTTGGGGATCTAAGGTCGCAGGCCACGTTGCCTGCACACTGTTGCGTTGATCGTTAGTGTAAAATCACATGTGATTTGGCCGTTTTTATGTTCCTTTATTTGGTTGCTGTTCTCATTTGAACCTTCCTCCGTTGGTTAATTATATTTAAAAACATTGACTAAATCGAACAAGTTTTGAAGGTCAAAGTAGTTCGTTTGACTTTGAAAATTGGAACACGGGATCTTTCTTCTTGTTATCTAATAAAACCAAACAAATCCAATATGAGGGGTGGAATATATGCAGACCCCACAATTATCTCAAAGAATAAAGCAGTTGTTTCTGTCACTTCTGCTCTCTAATACAATATATAACATCTGAACTCAACTCAGGCAGACGTAGATAATAGTGGAACAATTGATTATGGGGAATTTGTCGCTGCAACGTTACATCTGAATAAAATCGAGAGAGAAGATCATCTTTTTGCGGCTTTTTCGTACTTTGATAAAGACGGAAGTGGTTATATTACTGCCGATGAGCTTCAGCACGCGTGTGACGAGTTTGGCATAGATGCTCGCCTCGAGGAGTTGATTCAAGACGTTGATCAAGACAATGTAAGTTTATCTACATTCTTTCTTTTTGTATTGAGTTGCTATGAAAACTTGTTGTCCCATGTTTGGTACGACATTAGACTGAGACAGAACAAGACCGAGTGGGATATAAATGCACTTTCTTGTCCCACCGAAGTAGGCGGAACAAAATATCAGGGAGATGAGACAAGATTGTAAATTACTAAACTACCCATGTCAAATTAAACCCTAAAACCTTACATAATTATTTCACCCGCCTACCTCATTGTTGTCCATCAAGTCCGTCCCCATCCAATTCAATCTTGCCGAGTTCTGTCTGGGTGCGTTTGTATCGAGATATTATAGGACGGGATAGGAAAAAGGACATGATTGAACGGAACAATACAAAACGGTTGTTCAACGTTTGGTAAGACAGAACTGGATAAGACAAGACAAATATAATGACCAATTTACCCCTGATGAGTTGTTTATTTAATTCTAATAAAATAATATTTTTATAACAAAATATATCATTAGAAAGTTTCTCGTAAGACGATTAAAATGACACCAAAATAAAAAGTTTATGTAGTTTCAAAATTTTATTTTATACCTTGCTATATTATTTTTTATTATTAATATTGAGTAAATAGCATAAATTAACCAAAATATATAAACCGTATAAAAATAATATTTTGAGTACAATAAAGTGAAAGTTTAAAAAATATAAAATACAATAAATAAAATAAAAAGAATGAATAGAATGTAAAGAATGAGGTGTATTTGATGTTTTAGAAGAGAATTAAGTTTTATTTGATGATATTCCATGGGGGTGGGGTGGAACATGTCTGTCTGTCCCACTTTGTTCCTGTTTGTTCACATAAAAGACATGCCAAACATGGAACCGTGATTCCTGTTCTGTTTTGTCTTGTTATGTTCTGTCCAGTGTACCAAACACACCCTCTTTATACCAATAGACACAATCTTAGAAATGTGTAATTATTACACTTTTTAATTAACTAATAATTAAGGGTAGAACTGTAGATACCGTACTAAAATAGAATTGTGGACTTCTTTTTGGTGTTTCTTTTATGCAGGATGGGCGTATAGACTACAACGAGTTTGTGGCCATGATGCAAGGAAATAGCGGTGTCGCGCCAAAAAAGAGCCTAGATAATAGTTTCAGTATCAAGTTTAGAGAAGCATTTAAACTTTGAAGTTGTTCTTCGTGTTTCTTTTTCGGTATCGATGGAAACATAGAACCGTACTTTCGTTGAATTTGTTTTTCAGTTTTGAGTTTGAACTTTGTTCTGCAAAATTGTATTCATATGTGAATGTTGAGTGTTGAAGAGAGTAATGCTGGTAAGTTATTTGTGGATATTACCTCATGCCTTCTTTGTGGATATTACCTCATTTAATACTTAAATATTTTTGGCCTCCGGTCTGTAATTCAGTTGACAGATGGATGAGATGACTTTCTCCAATTACAAGACATGTTCTTCACTAGTCTCAGCCGTTGAGTGAGCCAAAAAATGCCTCCAGACATTGGTGTTCTTGGAAGCAGGTTTTGTATGGGACAGGTTGGATTGTCGGTAATCAGTTTTTATCCAAATGCTTAGGTATTTTTGTTTTGTTGAAACATGGGTTTTAAAAAAGAAAATGCATTATGTGAAAAATTATTATAGTATCAAATTGCCTTCTTATTACGCCTACATTCTTCAAAGATTTAACTCATATTACAATCTGTAACAAGAGAATAAAAGGGAAAAGAATCAAATACGTTGGTTGGCGCTCTTTGAAATAAGAATGGCAACGGGGCGGAGATGGGGCGGTTTTGTAATCCTCGGCCCCGACCCCGACCCCGACCCTGGTTTTTAGTAACATCCCCTTGCCCCGGTGGGTATGGGGATTAACATCCCGTTCCTGGTCAAATCTCATGAAGAATATCTGTTAGTTTGACCCCCGACCCTAGGACCTGTTTTAGCAGGGAATCCCCGTCCCTGTATGGATTGAAGTAAATTTCAATTCCAAATCCTGCAAAACAAACGAACCCTTGTTTTATCTGAATGCTTTATAATACGACATCTGTCAGTTAAACAAACTAGGAAACATACCCGTTCATTATAGGTACAATACATGCAAGTTCAACAGTATACATGATTTCAGCCATTATCCTATGCACTCGTCAATATATCCATGAATTTTTCTTATATTATTTACTCTTCGTTCGACCTACAAATACACACATACACGAATAACAACTACTCGTGATTTTTAAACACTCAATTTTATCGATCAGTTCTTACAAATTTCAGATATATTTACAAACACATATTCTATCTGGTTTTTGAAAAGGACAAAATCACTTTTTTATATGGCAAATGCTAATCAAATGTGGAATGCATTTGAGGGGGGCAATTGCAAGTGGTTATTGTTGCCTTGTGGGTATCATCAATTCATAGCTTTTGACCATCAAAATTTTATTTTCTAATGTATAATTTTTTTTTTTCATTAACCTTAATATCCAACCCCATATGCGAGTCGACTAATCTCAAGACGACCTTCTGCTTTGCAGATAGTCCGGAGTCACCGCATTTGAACCTCCGTGGCCACAAGGGGATTTTTATTCCTCTTTGTATTTGAACCTGAGACCTCCTGATACTTTTGACCTTTGGAGCCAAACTCAAACCAATCAGGCACCACCATTGTGGTTTAATGTATAATGTTTATTGCATGATATACAAGTTATTAATAGAAATAAAGCTGATTAAACATTTACGATATTAATACAGATAGTTTGTTTTAAAAACCAGATCTAAAATTTAAATAAACCACAAGGACCACTAGTGTAATTCAATCATAAATTAATTACAATTATCATATCTAATTATGTGACCTAACATTACACATTTTTATGAACCACATGTAGCATTTTGCATCACTTTTTCCTACAACCATAGATTTGTTTTAAAGTTTGGTCAAAATCTTAGTGATTTCACACTTTATAATCACATAATAATCATGGGGCACAAATTTGTTTTAAGCTTATGTGGTACATGATTAATACCTAATGATCGGTTGTAATCAGTATCTGATTCAATTCTTACCAGTAATGTTTCGATAGTTAAAATATTTCGTCCCATAATCAATATTTGTTATGAAAACCAGGATTGATTGGACATGCTAGTAGGGGTGTTTATGGGTTGGGTTGATCGGACTGAAGACATTTCAACAATTCAACTCAATGCTTTTAACTCAACTCAACTCAAATCGTACAGGTTGGTCGGGTTAATACTTTGGTACATTAAAATATTTTTCTAACCTTGAATATGTTATTTCTCTACTTATAATTTCTTTTTCATTATCAACCATTTGATACAACTTATCCATACTTCTTACGTATATTATATTCAGTTAATTTTCTCAATTTACATATATATATATATATATATATTTACAGTTAATAAACATATATACGAATGAGTTATACGAAGATGTGAATTTATAAAAAAAAAATATAGAAAATAATATTGACCACAAAAGTGTTGTGCGTAATAATGGTGGATCCATTGACCGGTGCCATGCCTTTTTGTGCTTTGTGCATGCACATGCACATGCTACTCAAGTAGCCTTTTTGGTCCAACAAAATACGGGCCATTCAATTACCCGATAACGGCAATGATAAAGATGAAGGGTCTTATTTAGTAAGTGAGATGATGATATTTAGGTAAACGACCCCTAAGTGGGTCATTTATCGGGGTAAACATTTACTGGTAAAATTAAACAGTACCACTTTCTTATCGAATAAGATTTTTGTCCAACAAAACGGTATTGTATGCAACAATTTACCTGATAAGTGGTAAGAGTCGTCGTTCTTACTTACCCAACAAGACTCTCGTGCTTGCTTTTGCACTTATCGAGTAATATTCTTTGTTCTTGTGATATTTATCCGATTAGATAATGTGAATTTTGCAAGCGCTTAGGCCACGTTTGGTAAAAACAAAATAGAGACGTTACTTCATAGGCTATGTTTTATAGATGCAAACTGTTTATGTACTGCCTGCCGGCCTGTAAAACCAAAACTATCATCATACTTCGTCTCCTCTGTATAAATAAAACGCGTGATACTTTTCTCTTTCAATCCATCCTCTCTCCAAATTCAAACTACTCTGATCCCTGATCCCAATATCAATCAATCTTGATAAGAAATGGCGGTTAGGATGATGAACTGGAGGCCATGGCCACCACTTTCGTCTAAGAAATTCGAAGCCAAGATTGTTGTATGTCGTCTCCAAGGCTTACCTGAGAAGATTACAAGTTCCGGCGGTGGCGGTGGGTGTGGGGAATCTCGGGATTTTTCAAAATTGGGTGTTGAAGTTAAGTGGAAAGGGTCTATTAAGTCGAACAATCGGTTGAATTTCAAGCGGAGCAGTGTGAAGAGGAATTTGACTAAGGAAGAATCATTAAACGATGATGGAGTTGTTGAATGGAATGAAGAATTTGTTGCGGTTTGTAATTTGGTGGCTTTTAGAGATGGTTTTCATCAGTGGGAAGTTGCATTCAGAGTGTTTGATGTAAGTCCTGAACTAATTTCCTTGGTTTCAATATGATTTTTTTTCTTGGTTGATCATGATTTAATGTCTCTTTTATCTTAAATTTGATTGTTTCTTGCTTTTCTATTGTTTTCTGTAGATTGAATTGTAGTTTTTCTTCAAAAAAAGGCTTAACTTGAGATTGATCCTGATCATGATCGTGATCACAAATATGCCAAAAGAGATTACAAAATTCTTGATTCTACTGTTATTGTATTAAATTTAAGAACTATTTACTTATTGTCAAACTAACAATTTGATGGAATATGTTTCCCAAAATCCACGTCCTGGTGTTAAGTTATAAAGATTGGATTGAGCTTCTCAGATTTTCATCAAGCAACACTTAACTTGAGACTGAATTTGATCCTTTTTTTCTTTATCTCAACATTTGTTTTGAGTTTTCTACATGAATGATCAAACAAGGTGAAGACTTGACTCTTGCTAGGATGATCAACAATCATTTAGCTGTGTTAACATAGTAAATAGCAAGCGAGTTCAATGATGCCACCAACCCTTTTTATCCCATTTAGTTATCATATGCAAATGCAGTCTTACCGATATGATTTTTTAGGAGACCAAGAAACCCCACACGAGGGATAAACTTTTGACAACGCCCATTAACATGCCCAGATTTGTTGACTGGTTTATTTGATGACGTATTAGACAATGATGTCCATTTTTAGTGCCGAGACTCGTGGCGTATTCCATATTCTTAGTGATTGCTTTTGGTTGTTGGAGAAATAGTAGATATAAGATGGTTTATTCACAAAAAAGAGGTTTTGCGAGAAAAATGGATCTTTTGTGAAAAAAATTGCGAAACGGGTGGTTATTTTCTGCTGGTTTGCAAAAAGTTGGCTATTTAATGATGTCATTTCTGTTCATGATAAAAAGGGTCCATCTTTTATAACCCCTTGTTCCTCTATAATAGCCATTTGCTTTGTATAATTTGTTTAAAGATTTTAGGATCATGCTGTTTTTGTTCAGGGCTTAAATCAAGGACCAAAAAGACGGGATCATGCTGTTGCAACTGGATCATTGAACCTTGCTGAATTCTCTTCGGCTGAGCAGGAAAAGACCCCAATAAGTATTCATCTCTCAGTGCCGGATAGCGTTGAGTGTAGTCCTATACTCTCTGTAAGTGCCTTCTAAAATGTATCTTGTTCAATAATGGAATCGTCTGGATAAATGACTTTAAATGAGTTTTCAATTAGAAGCATGACCTTCTAATTGTTTTGAGCTCTTGTCCCGCCCGTGGTTCAAGATAGTCTGCTCGTGTAAAAACTTAGAAATACACTAGAGGGTCATTTTGCAAAACGAGCTTCTCGAGAAGGTCATCAAGCTAAATTGCCCTTCAATGATGATACCATTTCCGCCAAAAAAAATTATGTCAATTTCATGTTCATAAGATAGGGTCCTCTAGGCAAATGACCTTAAATGAGTTTTCAGTTAGAAGCATGACCTTCTAATACCCTTTAGCTCAATGACCTTCATCTGACCTGCTCCTGGTTCAAAATAGCCCGGTCCTGGAAATTCTAAAGAAAATACACTAGAGGGTTAGAGATGTTAAAACATCTCTAACAAATTCTCTAAAATAGAAATTTTTGGGGATTTTGGCTAGTTTTTTGCTCCAATAGATTCTCCAAGATGGAGAAAATATGAGAGAGATCATGAAATTCTCCAAAATGAAGATTTTTTGGGATTTTCCCTAGTTTTTTGCTCCAATAGATTCTTCAAAATGAAGAAAATACGAGAGATCGTGAAATTTTCCAAAAATGATTACCTAGGAGAGATTATTCTTTATTCCTCATTTTATTAATTGAGAATCTTTGAAATTAAATATTTAGGATTGAGAAATAATTTTTATTAATTGTATCAAATATTTTAATAATATAATTAATGCTTAAATCTTCAGAGAAACTATTGGAGTTGAACGTAATTTTTTTTGGAGATTTTAACTTTTGATCGTGTTAAAAAATTTGAAGAATCTACTGTAGATGCTATTAGATTCTTAAATTCAGTTTTTTGAGAAGGTCGTTCAGCTAAATAGCCACAAATGTGCAGGTGTCACTCAGCCTCCTAGAACTCAGAAATGCATATGAGGTTACAGATTTCGCACAAAGATCCGTTGTGCCTCCTCCATTGTTACCCTACAACGAAGAAGTCTCGACTACATTCAAAGATGAGCCATCGGGTCTTAAAGCTGGTATTAAGAAATTTAAAATCTTTAGAGTAATTTCGGCTAACCGGACTAAAATAGCATGTCGTGAAGAAGAGGTTAGCGATGGGAAAAGCATCACAGTCAGAACCGAGGGTGCAGATTACCCTTTTGACACAGACTCACTTAATGGATCAGATGGAGTTGATTCTGAAGATGTAGATTATGCTGATTCTAGTGTTAGGAAGTCATTCAGCTATGGAACTCTGGCTAATGCAAATCATGCTGGAAGATTGTCTTACTTCAATTCAAGTGGTAGTGAAGATGAGGATCAAATATACTACCGAAACTATAAAACGGAAGCGGGTGATTTAAGCGTTTCTATGATCGATCACTCGGAAAAGCTAATCTCGAAGCGTAGGATCTTCCCATGGAGGAAAAGGAAGTTGAGTTTTCGATCTCCAAAAGCCAAAGGAGAGCCACTTCTAAAAAAGGATGTTGGAGAAGGTGGGGATGATATCGACTTTCATCGTCGAATGCTGAGCTCATCGGATGATTCCACATGTGGGGTAAGTTTTTTTCGTTTTCTTCCTCAATTGGGGCTGTTTACTAACTGCTCACCGCCTCTTAAGAGGTGCTTACCCGGTAAGAAGGGTTGCAATTTACTAAGAGACGCAAACCGGGCTTTTCGGGCCTGTACCCAAATTTGCCATGCCCCTTTTTGGGTAAGCAAAAAAATAAAGCGCGGATTTTCCAGGGTCGGGCTTTGGGGTTGAAAGAGGACCCGCTCGGGATTTAACTCGGCCTTGAATAAAGACCAGGCCTGGGATCGGGCTTACTAGGCTCAGGGTTTTCAGGTCGGGCCCGGTCAGGCTTCATGCTTGGGCTCTTTTCTGTATCTCTAGTTTACCAAATACCAATGCACTCTCACCCACAAATATGCTGACCAGAAAGGAAGGGGTTGCTGTCTGACTTGGTCAGTGTTTCAGTCAGCGCTCACCGAGACACTTTGGTAAACAAGTGTTTCAGTTGGCGCTTACCCAAACCGAACCTACTACCTAGTTTGCACTCTTACTCGGCACTTATTCAATTTTGTGTTGGTAAACAGCCCCATAAGGTGCCTAGTTGCATTAGGTTGCCCTTTTTTTGTTCTTCATTTTGACTTTTGGCTGACTTTATTAACATGGCAGCATCACAGAAGTGACGAAGGCTCAACGACAAGTAGATCTTCGATTTCCGGATTTGGAGACGACGATTTTGCCGTCGGTAGATGGGACAACATGGAAGTTACAAGTAGAGATGGGCAGATGAAGCTCCAAACCCAAATTTTCTTCGCTTCCATCGACCAAAGAAGCGAAAAAGCATCTGGGGAGAGCGCATGCACGACTTTAGTTGCCACCATTGCCGATTGGTTCCAAAACAACCGCCATGAAATGCCGATCAAGTCCGAACTAGATAGTCTGATTCGAGAAGGATCGTTAGAGTGGAGAAACCTCTGTGAAAACGAGGTTTATAAGAAACGCTTCCCGGATAAGCACTTCGATCTTGAAACGGTCCTTCAAGCCAAGATCCGTAATCTTGCTGTAATACCCGAAAAGTCCTTCATCGGATTCTTTCAACCGAATGAGCTCCAAAAGGGCGTTTTCGACTTTCTTGATGGTGCTATGTCGTTCGATAGCATATGGGATGAAATCAGCCAAATCGGCTCGAACCATGATGACATCATGAACCCATTGGTCTATATCGTGAGCTGGAATGATCACTTTTTCATCTTGAAAATTGATCGGGATGCATACTATATTATCGACACCTTGGGAGAGCGGCTATATGAAGGGTGCAGTCAGGCGTATATGCTGAAGTTCAATCAAGATACACGAATTCAACGAGTACCCAATGAGACGGAAAATCCGAATGAAAAAAAGGAAGGGAAAAAGGCTGATCGAAATGAAGTTCAGAAGGAGGAATTCACGGTGTTCGGAGGTAAAGAATCGTGCAAAGAGTACATCAAGAGCTTTTTGGCTGCGATTCCGATAAGAGAACTGCAGGCCGATCTCAAGAAAGGGTTAACGCCGGCATCGAGCCCTCTTGTTCAGCATCGACTGCAAATCGAATTTCACTACACCGAGTGTTTGCCGCAGCAGCAAACACTGATCCATTGACCAAAGGGTCATTGGTTCAACAGTATCTGGATTACGGGTAGAGTCCAACTTTTTAAGAGGTAAAAGGTTCAAATCTCACCGTATTAAATATGGATGAGTATTTACCATATATAAATATTATATACATGATATTAACAACACTGATAAGATTAACTCCAGTTAACTGTTCTTTAACTGTTTTTCCCTTTTTGCCCCTCTTGGAGTTTCTGATAACTTGCTGAATCAACAAGTGATCCCATCATAATGGGTTTTTTTATTAACCTAGATATCCAACCCGTTATGCGAGCCGAATAATTTCAGGACGACCACCTGCTTTGCAAATAGTCTGGAGTCACCGCATTTGAACCTCCATGGCCACAATGGGATTTTTATTCCTCCTTGGATTTGAACCTGAGACCTCATGGTACTTTTGACCTTTAGAATCAAGCTCAAACCAATGAGGCACCACCCTTGTGGTTAGGTTTTTTTTTCTATTTATACTAGTTGGGTATCCTTTATTTGTATTTGTAAACAAAAGTTAATGCAATTTTATTGTATATGAAATGGTGTTTATCTATTGATTATTAGTTGTCCTGTTAGTTTTATGTAGTTTAAATATGAAAATTTTAAATTTTTTATATATCTACTGATAACTTGTAAAGATCCAGGAATAACTCTGGAAAAAAAAACCAGAAAATCACAAAAAATGAATGAAAAAATATATCAAAATAGATGTTAAATTAACGTTGAAATATTCAAAATAGTGAAATTTCTTCAAATATTAACTTTCCTTCGATTTAGAGAAATTGTGGAAATGTTGTTGTATGTCGTTTTGAATCTCGCACGAGGTGGAGGTCTCTAAAGAAACAACTGTTTTTTTAACATTAAATTTTGTATATTTTTGAATTGATTTAAAATTTATTAACCATCTTGCTACTTTTAAGTATCAAGCGGTACAGTTCCTGTGACACCTTAAAATAGGGTAAATAAATAAATGGAAAAAGGGAGATGGAAAATAATTGGACTAAAAATGTGGAAAAAAAAGTGTTTAGAGGTAGGGGTGCTCAAAAACTCGACCAATCCGATCAAGCCAACCCAACCCGAAGCAACTTGATGTCTAATCGAGTTGTAAAATTGTCAAACCGTAGGTATTAGGTTGATATTGGGTTACTATTATTTGAACCCAACCCAACCTGATGAAACTGATATCCTTTTATTTCTTAGATTTAATATGATTAATGAATTTATATTAATATATTCATTAAACAATTACACTATCATGTATGCTTTTCATATACACATATTTTCAATCTATTCATATCTCTATATAACTCATTCGGTAACTGTGAACATATATATGTAAATTGAGAAAATTAATTGAATGTGATATAAGTAAAAAATATGAATAAGTTGTATCAAATGGTTGATGATGAAAAAGAAATTTTGAGTAGAGAAATAACATATTCAAGGTTAGAATAATATTTTAATATATCAAAGTATCAACCCGACCAACCCGTACGGGTTGGGTTGGGTTGCACTTTGGTTTGGGTTGGGTTGGGTTAAGATTTTTCCAAACCGCAAACATTGGATTGGATTGTTCAAACGTCCTCAACCCGATCAACCCAACCCTTGCGCACCCCTATTTAGAGGGGTCAAATATGCCACTTAATTAAAGTGATAAGTTAATAAATGAGAGCAGGGGGCCGAATGTATTTGTGAGAAAGTTTAGGGGCCGAATATTATATTTTAAAAACTTGGAGGACCTTTTCTGCCAAAAGGTAAGTTACTCAACCAAACTTTGTGATTATTGGCTGACTTCGTTTTTAAGTCATCTATCAAACTTTAGTAGTCTTATGTTTTAAAATTTAATTTAGAGGGTTCGATTTTGAGTTTTTTTTTTTTACAGATTTTCAAGTGGGTTCAGAACCAAATTTTTAAACAAGAAAATGAGACTCAATATTTGATGGTTTTCATTGATTTTTGTTCCTATGGTTGGAGAAAATGACTTTTCCTAGAGTTTTTGCAACAAGAATAGACGAAAACAGTAAAAAAAAGAGGCATTTTAATATGGAGAGATAATTATTAAATTATTTATTATGTAATAAATGATTTAATAGTCGTGTTTAAGGTGTCGTTTTACGTTTTTAGAGCTACGAGGCATTTTAAGTCAGAACGGGTGGTTCCTAAGGATAGATGATGTTATGAGTCGTTGTCAAGCGTAGCGCATAGAAGTTTATTAAATTATTTTATAATTAACGAGATTAAAGTGTCGTAATTGGAGTAAAGTATTTATTGGAACGCTTTAATTTAAAGAGATGGATTTATAAGATTATAAAATGATTATTTTGATGTTTTGAGATGCCGTCGAGTTTTAGATTTGGGTTTTGACTAAAATTGGTCGAGGTTGACCGAGTTGAGCAATTGTCCACTTTTAACTCGTTTGACCCACAAGTATTTTAACAATAAGGTCAAATGAAGATGTTTGAGATATTAAGAGACTCGGTTTTTGGAGTTTGACTTTAAGTTGGATAAAGTTTGACCATAGTTGACTTTTGGAGAAATTAAGTCATGAATGAGATATTATGGTATGAAATGTGTAGGTATCTAGTCAATCTACATGCAATCAGGTGAGTCTTCATGAGACTTACAATGGATGCATATCTACATACAAATTTATTTTCAAGCATTATATGATCGAATGATGATGTGTAACATGACATGTATGTAACTTTATGATTAATTGTATGCTATGTGTTTATTATGATTCCAAATAACTCTAGCATGTTATTTCATATAAAAGTTTTATGATCAGTTTTAATGTGTGGACATTTGACCCATAAGTCATAGGACAAGTGGCACGACCCTGTAACGGGTGTCCAGACAGGTGCAAGTCGGACTACTCAAGGAATGCCAATGACTAAATAATTCATACCCGACAGACAGTTTATGAGATCCATTTTCTTTTAGTGTTGCATGTTTTTCCAAAAAAAGGCATACTATTTGGTACAGAGTTTATAAGTTGATATGTGTTATATGAAATGATTTTTATTCATTCAAACCATGAACTCACCAAGTTTTATAAGTTGACTATAGTATGCACCTCAGGGACAAAAGATTTCAGGTTAGACAAAGAAAAAAGGGCAAACATAGAGACTTGTCTAGTCCATTTAAGTTCAATATTCATGTTCAGACGTCTATGATAGATAAATTTGTAATGCAATATGATATTGGAAGGGTTAGCATTTAAGTTATATATTTATTATCTTAAAGTCTTACACTGTAAATGGTCTAAAATTTTAATTTAGCCGTTATCTTGGAGTATTTATGGAGAATATGTTGTAGATTACGTAATATTTCTCATAGTAAATTGAGAGCGTTGCAGTTCTATTGTTTGTATGGAGGACGGGTAACAGGTCCAAACACAATGTATCAAATACGGTGGCACAAACACCCATTTGATTTCTTCGTCGTAAGGTAAAAAATATTTAGTGTCATGAAAGGTGTCACCGTATTATAATATTGGGTGCTATTGTATACATTTTGGAACTACAATAATGATACGATTTTGTCTTAGCAGAGTTGGTTTGGACGGTTTTTCTCCCATCCCAGGCGTGGTTTGAATCTCGTTTTAATCATTTTTTTAGTTTTTAGCTGTTATTTTCAGGTTTATTATGTTTCTAAAAAAATTGCAATAAAAGACTAACAAAAGACCTGACATACGAAAGTAAACAACTAACCAACAACCCACTTGAAAAAAATTATACGTTCAACTTTGATAGGTAATTTCTATTTATTAGCAGCTTAATGTGACTCACAACTTATTCGATCAACTACACATGACTATTTGATAGTGGCTTAATGATGTAGAAAGTGGTTTATTGAGTAAGTAATTTATGTAGAAAACCAAGCTTTTTCCAAAACAGTCATTTTCAATTAAAAAATATGCTTATTCCATCTATGAAAAAAATCTTTCTTACAAAATTATATCAAACAAAAACCTTTACGTTCTATACAGATAGATTAATTGGTTCAGACAACTTCTCCATACAGAATTTACTCAAAACCCATTATTCTTTTTTATAGCCCAAACTCAATGTTATACGAACTCAACCTGAACCAGCAACACACGAGCTATCGGTCTCTCAGACTCACGAATCTCGTTGCCGACTTCACGCGCTCACCGGAATCACCTTCCCGGCTTCAAGCTTACGGCGTCCGACGACCTGTTACTGCTCTGTCTCTCACAGATTCACGATCTCACCTCTCCCTCTTGGTAAATTGAAATTTCTAGGGTTTAGGTTCAATAATCGCTTCTTAGAGGCTGTTTGTTTGGCTCTTAACGGTCACATTAAGAGGAAACCACTTAATCGGTGAGAGGTATGGAGTTTTTGGAAGGGAAAAAAATAGCCTCTTAATGGTTATTAACCTCTTAATGTAACCATCTTTACCCTTCCCACTCCTCTCTTCTAGCCGTCGCCTTCACCGAGTTCACGTCGCCTTCACGTCGCATTCCACAGCTTCGCCGGTTGTCTTCTCCACCGTCTCCGGTCACCTCCACCGTCCCCATAGCCGGTCGCCTCCACCGTCTCCGTCTCCTCCGTCGCCGGTTGTCGCCTCCACCATCTCTGCATCTCTCTATCTTCTGTCTCACAACAATCAGGTATTTCCCTGAATCGATCTCCTCCCAAAGCTCCCTCTGTCAATTTTTACGATTGTGATTTGTTGTATCATAGTCAAGTTCCCTGAATCGATCTCCTCCCATAGTCTGTATGAGCTCAGGCAAGCTCACTTTGCTAAAGCCCATCAATGTTTTCCCCAACTTAACAGGGCTTGGTAAAAATGAATGCTATGAAATCTTGGTGTTGATGAATGCTATGAGTTTATCTGCCTTCTAGTGCTTTCTTCACCAAATGACGTCACTGTTATTGTCACTGAGTTTCTGGTAAAAATGAATGCTATGAAATCTTGGAGATTTTGGATTTAATGAATCGTTTAATATATGCAACCTGGAAACAAACATAAAGAAGTGAACTCCCTATGGTAACAATGCAGGAATGAAATCCTTTCACACACTCCTGTATCAAACATTTTGATTATTTCTTTTTTGAAGGAAATTGGCATAGGCTTTCTTCATACACTCCACTTGTGCAAGGCTTTCTTCACTACTTTCCCATGCCCATTTTTGGCCAACCTATATCTCCACCTCTTCTAACCACTACATTCAAAGGTCTGCTTTGGAGACAAACAAACAGCCCCTAACATTGGCTTTAATTTCTTTCAGCAACATTGATCAATAACACCTTTTGATAAATAGCAAGCCACTGAAAAGTTTGTTTCCAGGTTGCGCATTTTGATTATTTTTTAATTGTAACTTTGATTATTGACTTGAATCACATTGAGGTATGGAATTAGTTGTTATGGTCCCAAGCTACAGTCAAAGTTTGCTTATGGTCGCTTTATAAAATTGTTATGATTGCTTATGGTTAGTAATTGTTATGGTAATTGCTATGGTAATTGCTTATGGTCGCTTTATAAAATTATTTGGATTAGGTATGGACTAACATGAAATCTTGTTTTGAACTAATAATGTTACTTTTGTTTGGATTAATATGAAATGTGTAGTTATATTTGCAAAATAATTGTTTTATTAAGATATCTGCCAAACAACTATATTTCATTCGGTACTAAATCATACAGAGGGTTAAAATGGTAATTTGTTGTCATTCAGAGAACAGTTACCAAACAACATTATTTCATTCAGCACTTAACCATTCTGGCCCTCTTTAACCATTCTGACCATTTAACCATTCAGCAACCGCCAAACAGCCCCTTAGACTTGAGTTATTGACGTGTTTGAAATGTGCTTAATGCTTATGTTGTTTTGAATGATTTTGTTGTGTCAGATTCAATTCTCCAAAGGGCAACACACGAGACATTAGTGGTTACAAGTTAGACATTTAGTTTGGATTTGGGAACTAAAACTTTGCCATTTTTTGTTAATTTGTTTGGGAACTTTGCTTGATGCTTCTGTTATCTTGAACTTTGACAATTTACAAATTCCTAAGTGTTAATCTTGATAGTGTAGACTTGTAGTGAAATTGTATTGCAATATGCATCTGTAGTAGGGAACTGATCACAAGCATTCTTAAACAACTGAACTTTAATATTCATGATGTTGGAGATTCAGAGGTTCCATTAATGGTTCTTTGTGGATCTATTTGCACTATGATTTTCTTGCTTATTAGCCACTGAGATCCTAGGACCCGTGGCATTGAATTGATCTAGCAGCACCAAAAATCTATACACTGATGCCAACATGAAGGAGACCAGAAACACACCCAAACTGTTACAATTCTGTCAGAGATTTGGGTAGGGTGGCATATAATTAGCTCACATATGTTTCCAAGGATCCAATTGAAGAATAATGTAAGAGATGTGATCAATACAAAACCCAAAGTAAGCAAGCTATAAGCACATTACTTGAAAATTAACAAGCTTAACAGATGCGTAATTAGAATCCATATATACATACGGAATATATGTTTTTCAATTCACTTGTTTTATTTAAGAGGACCACCCTACATAATATTCTTGGCCCCGCCCTTGTGCGTACATCCCACCCCAATACCTACTTTTAACTTGATGTACACCCGATCAAAAACAGTAAAAATCAATAGTAAATCTGGTTGGTTGTATTACTCACAGTCGAATACTTACAGAAGCGTTTATGGCTTTCGAGAGGCCAGAATCTCTCCACAGGACTCACGCACAAGGTTTGTGTTAAGCAAGGCAGTAGGGGTTGGTTGTAAGGTTATATAATAAGGATTAAGTGTTTACCCAACAGAATGCTTACCTACTGGACCCTCACGACTTATTTGTACTTAGGCATATGCCAATACCTACTTGTACACTATAAGCAATACCTACTTGTACCACTACTAACATAGGGTATAACACAAGTTGACTTGGTTTTTAACTCAATTTTGATTTGAAAAGAAATTTAACTATCAAAAGTCAATTGTGAATTTTTTTTGGATGAAAGGGGTAAAGTTAAATACAGATGGTATCTTTTATTTCTCATGTGTTATAGTTGTCTCTTTGTGTCATATGTGATCTTGTCTTTGTGTCTTGTTAGAGTTTATTACATATGGAAAATGAAAAAGTGGCACTTTTTTAAGTTTATAATATTTATATATGGGTATATGGCAAATGCTCTTCACCTTTGATGAGGTTTGAAGCTTTGACCTCCAAAGAGGTTGGGATCTACTGGTAACTCGGATATCACTGGGTCATTGATCCATTTGGGTGTTCTTCTTTTTGTTGTTCTTCTTTTGACATATTTTATTGTAGATGTTTTGCCTATGAAATCTTCATATTCACTTTCTTCTTTAGGGATAGCTTGATACACCTGACCTGAGGTTTGCTTGATTCCCTATGGCGTTTGTACATTTTAATGGGCTTCGGTCTCTGCAAATTTCTTCACGAGGATGCATCTTCAACCCTGGTAGCGGGCACACACGAAGCGATATATCCAACAATAGATGTTCTGCTGTCAAGGCTTGCATCAAGCAACCTGATCAAAAAGTTCATCTTGAATCTAAGGTAATTATATTAGACCATATACTTCATCTAGTTGTGGGATATAATTCAAAAGAAGTGTACTATTGGTATCAAATGTATCTAATACGCTTTAGAGATAGTAGCATACGGGAATCTTTTGGACCCAAACGAATATCATAAGTTATTGGTAACAATTGGTAGTGGGTAAGCATGGTTTCAAAATCATTTGAGGCGTACGCCTCGAGGCGAGGCGGTGAAAAAATGAACCTGAGGCGTCGCTTCTCCATGCTTGTATGAAGAGTGCGCCTTGCATGTGTGAGGCGGTGGGTAAGGCAGTGAGGCGGTGAGCGAGGCTGAGGCGTAAGCCTCTTTTCATATGATGTGATAATACATGGGTTAGTGGGTGTGTCAAGTTTTTGGGTTGGTGGGTGTCAGGTTTTATTATATAAATACAAGAATAATGTCAGACCCTAATATGATAACATATATTCGGTGGATTCTTCTTTTTAAAATCTTAGTCTTTCTCCTTAACCTTTAAACCTTCCTTACTGCAATGACAACTTGTACCTGCTGCAGTAGAAACTTGTACTTGTTTCTGGTTTATATAAAATATGTACGTATATATATTATGTTTCTAGTATTTGTATGTATATTTTGTCATGTATAATTATATAATTTATAAATAAGTATAATGAGACTTAGTAAAGAAATATAATTATATTTACATTTTGTGTCCATAGTCCATCCTATTTGGTTCTCTTAGTTTACATTTTGAGATTCTAATGCTATTATTAGATATGTGTTAATATATTAAAATTTTTATTTTATTTTATTTTCTGCCTCGGGGTTTACGCCTCGGACTGCCTCGAGGCTTACGCCTCGCCTCGTCGAGGGAAAACACCTCGAGGCCTGGTTCTGCCTTTTAAAACTATGTGGGTAAGTTGATAATTTAACTTCAAAGTTTACCAGATAGAAAAACGTTATGTTTTCTAGAGGCGGACTTGGTACATTACCAATTTTTTTTCTCCACTACTATGTACCAACCAATTATAATTGGTATGCAAAATACTATACATGTACCAACCAACAGTACTTGGTATCGACTCAATTGGTACCCTCTTTTTTCAGTTGATACATGTTGGTACTACTTTGTACCAACTTCAAGTCACATATATGAAAACCCACAATTTTATTCAAATTTTGAGTGACATTTTGAGTTCGCGGGTAACACATGTCATGTTTAAGGGTTTTTTAATTGCAGGGAATAAAACCTGTAAACATTCAAATGCTCAAACAAAAAGGTTAAAGTTACGATGTTTAATATTCAATACATCAAATAAGTTGGTACCATGGTACTACCATATACCAACCAAGGTTTCATAATTGGTACGGGTCTTACCAACTGACTGCGATTAGTACCAATTTAATTGGTACGGTTGGTACAAATGTTGGTCGGTTTGGTTTGGTACAAAATTGCCACCCCTAATATTTTCACTGGACATCCCAAAATGGAATTGTTTCAATTTTCATGGTATGGAGGGAGTAATGTATGCTCCCCCTATCTCATGAAAATTGCCAAGTTTGAAATGGTACATAGTTTAACCCTCCATCCCAAAATAAGTGTCCACTTTCAAAAGTAAGTGCCTATTTTTCAATTCTATCATCAACCATGAGGTTGAGAAATTCATTATTCCCTCTACTATTAAGTATTATTATTAAGGGTACAAATGTCATTTAGTTGATTAAAAAATGTACTAATTACACACTTCTAAAACAGTGTGCCTTTTCCATTGTGGACATTTATTTTGGGACGGAAAGAGATATTTGTCAAATATCTAAAAGACCCTTCAATAAGACAATTGACTAGCATTAAAATCTTGACAGATGCATTCACTTCTTGGTATTTATTAAAACTTCATATTTATGTTAAATTGCTAATAAGATAATTTGAAAAACGAATTTCAGTTAAATTCGGTATTGGACAGTGTGAAATGGGACGAGAAGGGTTTGGCTGTGGCTATAGCACAAAATGTCGACTCAGGAGCAATCTTAATGCAAGGATTTGCCAACCGGGAAGCACTTGCGACCACAATTGCTTCCAAGAAAGCAACTTTTTATAGCAGATCAAGATCAACATTGTGGATAAAAGGAGAGACCTCCCTTAATTTCATCAATGTTCATGACATCTTTCTTGACTGTGATCGTGATTCTGTAAGTTCCTTTCATGTTCGAACTACCCATCCCATGAAAATCAAGAACTTGCAGCATTTCTTCATTTTCATTTTGGAAAAAGATTCCCAGTTAAGGGCTTGTTTGTTAGTAACTTAATTAGCTTAATAGGGCTCACAGCTTTTTACTGTTTGGTAGTGGCTTAATGATATAGAAAGTGGCTTATTCAATAAGTTTCTAGGAGGAAGCTTTATGCATGAAGCCAAGTTTTTTTTCTCCGAACATGCCTCTCCCAATTAAAAAATACGCTCATTCCATCTATGAAAAACCCTCCCAAACAAAAACCTTTCCAATCTATACAGACAAATTAATCCACACAAACAGCTTCCTCCATACAAGACTTAATGGAAAACCAATCAAACAACCTCTTAGATTACGTATTTTTCCATCATCATGTGGAACCAATCAAACTTAGTATATCCTGCTCGAAAGCAGGGTCGGGGAGGGGTGGGATGTCCGGACCTCTAGCCTGAAAAGGTAGAGTGGCTGTTCCCATGAAGAAGGTAACTGACGCGTTTTAACATTTTGTCAGATCATATACCTTGGAAAGCCGGATGGTCCAACTTGTCACACTGGAGCGGAAACTTGCTATTACACATCCATTTTCGATTCTCTAAATAAACCACAGGTACCCATTACTTACCCTCAAGGCCATCCATTTTTCAGAAAATTATGTTTATTTACGTTTGATCTTCGAACCCTTTAATTTGTTATGTTGAGGCTGAAGAAAATAATCTGGCATTGACGACATTGTATTCACTGGAATCCACACTTTCCCGAAGAAAGGAAGAACTGTTGGCACCTCAACAAGGCAAACCATCATGGACAAAACGCTTATTGCTTGATGAGAAGTTACTGTGCTCAAAGATCCGGTACGCTCATTTCTTGCGTAAATTTTTTTTTGTTCACTTATAACATTTATCTGTCTCTATTTTGTGGATTCCATCTTCGGTTTTTCTCATATCTAATTGGTAGGGCCAAGAATCACATCTTCATTTGAAAAGGGAACCGAGTTATGAAATATTAAATGATGAAAGCATATGTTTTCTTTGAATGTGGGCATTTCGTCTTCTTTTCTATAATTATTTGATCTTTATGATTCAACAAGCCTGAGTATCTCTTATTGTGGTGCCGATTTGTCCTACAATTGGTGCGATATTAGGCTTAAGGACTTATTTGTTAGCAACTTGAGCTTAATGTGACTCATAGCTTATTTTTGTCAGTTATACATGAGTGTTTGCCATTGGTTTAAAGGAAGTGGCTTTTTCAGTAAGTTTTTAACAGGGAGCTTTATTTAGAAAGCAAAGTTTTTTTTCAAACCTATCCCTCCCAATTAAAAAACACACTCTTTCCATCTATGCAAAAACTCTCCTAAACAAAAACCTTCCCAATCTATATAGATAGTTAATTCACACAGACAACTTTATCCATAAATGACTTAACCAACGAAACAGCCCCCTTGGTCAACAAAGTCCCGAGTGGGACAAATGCATTCTTTTTCCTGTCCCTGTGGAATAAAACAATGGAGATGGATAAGATTAGTAAATTACTAAACTACCCACGTCAAATTAAAACCCTAATACTTTCCACAATTATTTCATCAAACTACCTCACTCTCACCCATCGACGTACCAGCTGCACCTCCTAAAAGTCCTTAGTAGAGGCTATTGACAACTCACATCATAGTTTTTAAGCTGATTTGAAGATTCTTGAGTTAGCCTACTGTTTTGCACTTGAGTTATTTTAAAGGGATATTTCAAGAAAGGAAATCATTGCATTTATTTTGAAACAATCCTGAAGGAAAATGTTTCGTGGCGCAGGGAGTATAAAATCGTGTGTACCTTCATAGTTTATCTCAAAATCGAAATTGTTGTAATGAAATACTGGAGTTCAGATGTAACAATGCTTTCTTTTTTTGCAGCGAAGAAGCCGACGAATTTTGCAGAACACTGGAAGAGAATGAGGACGAATCACGAACTTTATCTGAGATGGCAGACGTGCTGTATCACGAGCTCGTCTTATTGATCCACAGAGGTTTAAAATTCGAAGATGTTCTCGAGGTTCTTAGATGCAGATTTGCTCAATCGGGAATCGATGAAAAGAATAGCCGCAAACCGAAAACCGTAAAATGATTACTGCATTTTTCATAACTTCAATGAACAAGAACATGGGCATCTGCAAAGTTGTTTTCATCGAATATTTGGAATAGTCTATAGGAACCCATGTATTTTTTTTTTTTGGAAGGGTGTAACAGGCTATGCCTGTACTAATCCCAGCAAATTATAACGGCAAGAAATCAGTCATGATAAACTTAGTAGCCACAATTGTTGTGCATGTCTGGAATAGAACCCTCTGGACAAATGGGATATTTCACCATATCTTTCATAGCCTCAACCGCTACGTCACAACCCATGTGCTTCCCATGTGCTCTTTTAACCTTTTAACTCATGATAGTGTTTGGTATGCAGATGAGACTGTACAAACTGGACGGGACGGACAAAAATGAGGTAGACGGTTGAATGAATTGTGCATGGTAGCAGGATTTTTAATTTAGCAATCTTGTCTAATATCCTAGATTATTGTTTCACCTATTTTAGTGGGACGAAAAATTCAGTCTTCTTGTTTTAGTCTAATATCTCATCAAACATAAGAACTGTTTCTGTTTTGTTATATTCAATTTTGTCCCTTTGATCATGGTCTCGTTTTGTAGTCAAGAGTCTTCCCGGTTTTGTCAAACTACAAACGAGTTGAGATATTGGCACGACAATATTGGGTTAAGCTCAAACTCGCTTCAATAGCTCGATAAGTACCTACTTGTTAGCAGCTTAATGAGACTTGCAACTTATTTGGTCAGTTATAAATGACTGTTTTATAATTGTTTAATGACATATAAAATAGCTTATTCAGTAAGGTTTTATAGAGGAGCTTTATGTAGAAAGTCAAAAAAAATCCAAACCTACTCCGACAATTGAAAACCCGCTCCCATCTATAAAAAAAACATCTCAAACAAAACCCTTTTTCTTCTCATGTATCAATCAAAGAAATATATCTGGAAAAAAACAAACTTGATTCAAGAGCTTGAACAACATCGATAAATACTCGACTCATTTGGTAATTTTCTTGATGCATCATTTCGTTTATGATTGAATTTTCTTTTGGCGTTTTTCCTTTGTCTACTTCCAAAAATGTTGCTCATAATCTTTCCAAAAGAAAATCATCGACTATTGCAATGTTCCATTGGGTCGGATATTACGAGAAGAAAATCCAAAGAAGTGAACAACAAATTTAACGAATGGGGTCGATACAAGCTTAAATGAAGTAAGAATGTGTGGTTATAGAGGTAATGCAAAGGTGGTTTTATAAATGTTGAATTGCAGAAATAGAAAACAGATGATCCAAAAGCATGTGCATGAATAACACACTCCGGTTCTGCACAATACGGTTAGCCACACTCTAACCACGTAGAGATGCACGGGGGACTGGAGGTAAACCAAGATCGTCTTCGGCCTGTAAACCATTACAAAATTGACATTAAATCATCATTCATCAATCCATTTATACTGGAGTGGAATTACCCCGTGTGTGTTTTGAAGTATATAATATTTATATACGGCAAATGCAACAAATAAACTCAGTGTCCCCATGTTGCCGCTCTATCATGCCAACGTAGTGGAAATTTCTTTAGGAGTGTTAAAAGGGGAAGACGCTTTAATTTGATGTGGACTCTACGTTACTGGTAGTCTCATTGTATGTGGCATTAGCGGTTGTAAGTTCAAAGCTTCAAATCCCTTTTGCCCTCTTTTAATTTTTTGGTAATGGTCGAGTAAAAAAGAAGGAAAAACCACTTGTCGTGTCATTTTTAATTACACCGTATTTTTTATAATTAATTTTCGTTTTATTTTATATTATGCTAATTATTTAGTATATGTGCTAGAAAAAAATTCTGGGTTCGCCTCTACATTTATCAAAACGTAGTATAACAAGCTTTTGAAACATACCTGATTGTTAACTCTGCGGGCTGGTACCGCATGTCCACTTGGAGCTGAAGGCAAGTTGAGCTCTTCATTCAAATCAGGTTCGTTATCAGGTTGAAGATATGAAGGTACCCCTTCCCCTTCGGTTTCTAGCCCCATGTCTGCTTCCAAAGCGTCGAGTTCTGCATAACCATTCAACCCAAAGCTTTGAGATTTGAAATAAATGATTAAAGAATTCAATAGACATAAAATCGCAGCTTTTTTTTTTAGCAATTTAGGTTTTACTTTCCACAAATAACAACAATTAACTCTCTCCAGGGCATGTTCAAATGAAAACCAAGAATATTTTGGGAACCTTGGAACTGCTTTATCCATGATAAATGTCATGCTAAATACTCATAATGAAAATACATGACATTTATCATATGAATGTATGATATCATAATGAATAAGATTATTCAGAGTTATTCATCATGAATAATACTAACATAGTTGGTTCCATTATTCTCAAAACATCCATGGTTCTCATTTAACTTTTTCCATACTCCCTTGTGTCTCAAGTTTTTCACCTTTTTGAAGTCTTCTTCAAATTCTTCAAAATTTCCTTCTTTTATCACACACTTTTCACAAGTCAGTGTCTTTGTTTCAAGTATATTTAGAAACGGTATTTTCAAGATAGTCGACGGTTTAAAGGGAAAAGGACCAGGCGGGACTGTCCGGAATTTTTGTATCTCCCAGGCCCACCCATTAATTTTAATGGTCTGGCCCACGCCCACTATTTTTTCGAGAATGGTTATACAAGCCTGCTTTTCTAACAGGCTGTACTGTCCATCAACAGCTCTAAAAGTAACGATTTTGTAGTAGAATTACAATGGTAAGTTTTATGCTCACCACCCATGAGATCTTCTTCATCAATGTCATCAGGCACACTGTAGCTTCTGCCAAGAGACTCTTGTATTTCATTGCTAACTTCCATCAAGTCAATCATGTCATCTTGCAAATTCTTCAGATGAATAGAACAAATGGTTTCAATTTAGAGATATTATCAAATGATAAAATGGTATGATAGGAATAAGACGAACAGAATTGTATACTAACATCAATGTCTTGAATCTTTACGGTTTTCATCATTCCTTTCAACTCTTTGTTTGCTGATTTCAAAGCCGACATCTGGAAGATACAAAATCGATCAGTGACAAGAATTTTGAGTTCCGGGTAACTGAAATAAGGAATTATGTCTTCAAAAACCAAAAGATGAAGCGTTTTAGAGTAGAAGAGCAAAGAGCAACGCAATATTTCACACACATATTCAAGAAAAATCCATCCCTAGAATTAGATGGGCGGTCCACTACCTCATGGAGGTAGGCAGCAACTTCCAACCAGAGGACAGAAAAAGCTCCACCCTGCATGCTTTGAACTATTTCCCACAGGGCGCTACCAACAAAAGCAATATAAGGTGAACAACGGAAGCCCAAAAGAGCCAACTCAATCAAGCTAAGGCCACATATATTGTATCATGATGATATGAATCCCCCGATACTATTAGAAAAGCTAGAACTCACAACGTTGGATACTTAGCAAACACAGTTGCTTATCCAGGGGAAATCAAACAAAACCCAAAGATAATAACGAAATGTTCAGAAAAGCATGATTAAAAGACAAATCCAAGGATAGTAACAACAATTAACTTAAAACATACTGTTTGCTGAGCATCTTTGATACCCTCCGAAGCAAATGCAACTTGATCTAGATTGAAAGTTTGGTTATATAGCATGTCTCGTTGTCCTTCATACCTGCCAAGAATGAGTAAAAGTGGCAGATTAAGAGTCTAACCATATAAATGAAATTTAAGAAAGTGCCTTTTATAATATTAAAAGCTATGGAAGAATTCTTAAGTCTAGATATCCTAAGAAGGAGGCCTTAAGTAAGATACCCACAAAAACTAGGTCCATGAAACCTGCTACTATTTCAACCAAAGTGTATTTTACTATAAAAACATAGTACAAAACAGGCATTGTAGCGATTGTAATTTATGACCAGTTTAGAATCCTGTTATATCCACCATATCAACCATTCCTCCCTAAACTCCAGGAAAGGAAAGCCAACCCAGCAAGGCTTTAGGCTGCTTTGACTAGGAATGTAATTCAGTTGGGTCTCTGACACATGAATAAAAAAAGATCTCACTTTCAGATTGAATTCAGGCCTTCAGGATGGATATACCAATACCCTATTTCTTATCATCATTTCTCCTCGTGTGTTGATGCAGAATAGAGGATGAGGAACAGATTTATGAATCAACTATCATATACAATGACCAAAGGGTTTTTGGCCCAGCGGTATCTGAGTTACCAGTAAGATCCCAACCTTTTGGAGGTTAAGGGTTCAATCTCACCAAAGGCGAGGAGGGTGTGTGAGTATGGGGCTATTCATGGGAGAACTCTGTATTTTGTGGGAACTGTGAGATCCATTCACAGCCACACATGTTGAACCCGTACATGGTGATTCACATTGTAATTACTTACTGAACCCAAACCAATGTGTTTTTTATTTCAAATATTAAACTCAAACATGGTAATTTGTACTGTTAACAGTCATTGATCCAAGGCATGAGTGTTTTATGTTTCAAACATTAAACCTAGACATGGTAATTCACATTGTGATTACTCACTAAACCCATACATGTGGTTGGATCTCACAATTCTCACAAATAACCAGGTTCTCAGATGATTACCACCCTTGCCATATATGCTTTGAAAAAACAACCATATAGAATGTGATGATCCTAAGAAACCACCTCCATTACTTGGCATAGCTTACACATGTCTGTCAATAACTTGATTCTAGGTACATCTTCACCACCAACAAAATCCTTCTATATATTGTATGTTACATGATAGCAATCAGTAAAAAGTTGGGGATTGCACAAAGTATTCCCTCACCAATAAGGTATAAGGCTGCAAACTTACTAGCTACGTGTAAGCTTGGCAACCCATCCAAATTTAGCCTCACGAGTCAAATCTGATGGATATAGTAATAAAATAAAGGATGTCACACTGTCACCTACATCTTTAACTGAACTTCCCAAGTGTCGTCTACGGACATCTTATAATAATCGAATGATCTTTTTCTGCTTCTAGAGGTATTTTTGGAAGTCAATGCCTTCAATGTTATTAAGGTATAAATGCAGTGTGTACTTGAAATTTTCAGAATTCAGCATTATTAGCTGTTATTCTCAATGACGATACTCCACATATCATAAGGTATCTGATCTCTGTTTGTCCAAAATGAACATGTTCTTTTGAAGCTGTCCTAATTATCATTTTCCATGTATACTTTCAAATGGAAAACTTATCCTCAAACCACCATGTGCCTAAATCTGACAAAAAGACAACACTTGTCAAACATGATATTTTAAATTGTTAGATGGTTGCCATATTATGAAGTGACCTACATTCTTTTCTGCTTGAGAACTCTCATTGCCCGAGCTTTCACAGCTTCTTGAGCTGGACCAGGACGGGTTCTTTTGATCTGCTCTTTATATCGAGCAAGCTCCCCATCAAGTCGCTTGATTTTCTCATCCACCGTCTCACCTCTTTTATTGATCTACATATGCAATAAGAAATAATCAAGCTTCTATCTATATACAGTTAGAGCACATTAACAAGATCCAGAGCTACAGCCATTTAATCATCAGAAGAGAAAAAATGCAAGAATGTTTGGTAATGCAGCTTAAAGAAACTCCCACATATACAATCCATCAAATCCAAATACAAATGCAATTTTAGCTTGAACAAATGGCTTATCCTACTAACAAACCATGCTAATTTTTGCTTCATGAAAAATTTAGTGAGAAAAACGAAATTAGAACTGTTTCCAACACCTCCTGTCCTTTTGGTCTCATGGCTCCATAGAGAGATCATAGACATGTAGGAAAACAACATCTTTGTTTTTTGGAAAAAGGAAAACAACATCCTTAGTTAATAAAATAATGGCTAGTGACAACCAACTGGTCACATGATATTTCGACCATCAACAATAGCCTTGGAAGAAGACTTTTAAGTCATTGAAGCTCTCTTGCCAATCTGTAATTTATGTTAACACACCTTAAAGTGTGTTGAAAGTGCAATGATAGGATAAATTGTAGTATTTAGGAACTGTTATCCGAAATATGTTACCTCAATACTTCAAATCCTAAGATGATAAAAGCTACAACCTACAACATCCCAATTACCTAGCAATTTGAAGTGCTCCTTTGGGAGGGGGGGGGGGGGAGAAGGCAATAGAAGGACAGACCAACTCATTCGTTGATCAAACGAAAATACTATTTGAGCTCCCATATTGAATTAAACTGATATAATCCAAATAATATGATTAGATATGAGCACAAAGTTTCCACCAACAAATATTTGATTATGTGATACTGTAACCCTCGGAGGTGAAGCCTTAGGATATCAATGGAGGATGCTCACAGATCAAACAGTTCCATGTAATGCCTCAACGTTTCGCACACATTGGCCACACCTGTGCTCATCTATAACTGCAAATCAATAAATAGCTCAAAGGTTTTACTCTGATATCTTCTAGATCACAATTTTTCACAGCAGCTCTTCATTCATTTTCAGCCAAAAGCTCTATGACTAGCTTTTAATGCGATCTTAGAATCCCTTAGCTTAAAAAAAAACAACCATACATAACCTCCATAGACTTCAGCTAGACCACAATCAACAGCGTCCTTAATACAGTTTCTAAAAATTCTCGGGCCTCTTTTAGTTACACATTGAAATCTAAAATTAAGTAACCGGCAACATGAATAGAATGACAATGCGGTTAAAAAAAAACAAAGCAAAACAGTTACAGATATCGATGAAAACGATTTAATACAAGAACCTAAACAAAATCAAACACATCCACCGATATATATATATATAGAGAGAGAGAGAGAGAGTACCCGATCGGAGGCGTCATTAAGCGACGGAGGAGGTTCTTTATCTTTCTTAACACCAAACACTCTCTTCATCTTCGTTTACTTCAAATTTTTTGCTGCTTTTAGGGTTTTCTCTTAAGTAAAACCCTAATTTAACATACGATGAAGAAGATCTGAGAATAACAAACTCAATGCGAGGATTTCTTGCTTGCAATCCTTGGTTTGCAGGAGCTGTAGAAGAGCGATTCGAATGAAAACGAAGACTCGATGTGGGTGTTTGAATTCTGAAATTCGAATCGGTTTTAACGGATGGAAAGTAGTACTTTATCGTACTTTTACAAATTACAATTTGCACCCTTCACCTTTTGGTTGTTTTGCTTTTCATACCCTTCTTAATCATTTTAATTAATCTTAATCCTCCAAAAATTGAAATCATGAAAACAACATCAAAAGAGTAGTAATTGTAATATAGATTCCATTCCTTCATAAATGGAATAACATCAAAAGAGTAATAATTGTAATACAGATTTCAATTTCCTTACAAATTCCATTCCTTTAGAAATCATTCCGCGAACCAAATGCCCCTAAGTCTTATACGTCATTTAAGGATCCAATATTTTTCAATACAAAAAATTTGTATGTCATATATGTAGTTACAGATATGTTTTTTATTTATTATTTAATAAGATAATGATATTAAAAGATTTACATTCATATTAGAAGAAGAAATAGTATATATATATATATATATATGGGCCTATTAAAGGGATAACTGAGTTGTTTGTGGTAACTGTGAGAACCAATATTAACCACAAATCAATAGATAAATTAGGAAATTTATAAATTTCATAATTTAAAATTAAAATCTTAATGCAAGGATATTTTTGGTATTTTAAAACTCTCCTCTCTTCTCTCTCCGGCCACCGTTCTCCGTCCTTCGGCCACCGTCCTCCTGTGATACCACTATGATACCACTGTGATATCTAAAAGTATTGACTCTGTTAAACAAAAGATACATTGTGATACCTAATCATATATAAGATGCATAGTGATACCACTGTGTTACATCTTCGATCGACCACACAAACGACATCAATGTGATACCCAATCACATATATGATGCATTGTGATACCATTGTAGCATCACCGGAGGACGGTGGCCGGTGGACGGTGGCCCGAGAGAGAAGAGAGGAGGGAGGAAAATTTTAAAATACCAGAAATATCATTGCATTAATATTTTAATTCAAAATTGTCAAAATTATAAATTTCCTAATTTATCTATTGATTTGTGGTTAATATTAGTTCTCACAGTTACCACAAACTAATTAGTTCTCATTTGATTAAGCCCATATATATATATATATACTATCTTATAAAACATTTGGCAAAAACTCTTAAAAACTCTTAAACCCGTTCATCCTAAACGATTTTATCCTTATCCGATTTCATCCCATATCTGAATTCGTGTAACTAACTGCAGATAAACACAATCAAATACAGGATAAACATCTCA